TTTTTTGAATGCCCATGCATCGTGCTTAAGTCGCTGTGATTTGCCAAGTAAACCCTGCAGAGAGAAAACACATCAGTTTCGTAGTCAGCCACCTTTAGAATCCCTTGGTATAAAGTCTTCAATCCATTCTAATCTAAGAACAAGGAAGATACACGCTTAGTTTATTCATTATGAGAGTTTTTAAAATGTGGAGTGAGGTCAACCAATAACTGGAGTTAAACCTGACTGAAGTGCACACCTGTGGGGTGGAGGGAAGCAGTTTGCAGTATGCAGCAGCCCTAACAAGCATATTGTTTGATATGCATGAAATGACGTGTGTACATTTCTTTAATTTGTGAATCTTACAAATCTAACCTGAACATAGTATTAAAAAAACTGTAAACTATAAATCGTTTCGGTTGCATGGAAGTTTAAAAAGCAGTTTCTCTGAAGAACAATTCTTTACTTATTTTGGAAAATGAGTTTAACATGCACACTGAACATGAAAGCAGCCTTCTATCCCTATTTGCTGCTTTAGCTTCTGACAGAAAATAGACGAAAAATGCTTGGTTCAGAAAATTCTGACAGATCTACATTTTGCATTCTTTTTCGTGGAATCACCCATCTTGGCTCATGACGGGGAAGGCTGTTGTTAATTTAGCGTCCAACAGTGGAGAATGTCTCAACTAGTAGAAGCTACCTGTTAGCATTAGCAACTCAACCACACATCAAAACTCCTTCAGTCTTGTGTTATTTGTGGAGATAAAACATCAAAGTTGCAAAGAAAACGGAGTCAGTGGTACACTTCCTGTACACCAGACGTGTGAACAGCATAGTGGTGTTTGACTCGCGAGCTACCTGGACACAAAGCAGGAGCAAAAGCAGTCTACACAGAGGGTCTTGCAAGGTCACAAAATCATGTGAGAATTGCAACACCACATGTGATTTCAGAAGTCCACATAATACCAAGGATGGAGAAATACAGCTGCATGCATCCCAAAAGGTCAGTGGTTTATTTTCAGTTCTGTTTACCTTGGCTATGGAGGTTTCGCAGGAAAAGCCATACGTTTTTACTAGTTTCCTGATCGCTAAAGGCCTCCACTGCCAGTATTTCTCGCTATTTTTACTGTTTTTTTTATTAAGAGTCACAGAACGTTGCGCGCTAGGATGATGTTGACGCCAAAACTACCAAAACAAAGAGGATGCTCAACTTTTACATCAGGAAGAATCTGCATGTTTCGAGCGTTATCCGTTCTTTCATAATCTGTTGTCGAATTGTGATCGGCAAACGCTTTTCCAGTTCGCACCTCACTTTTTTTTACAGGAACGGCCCAAAACGATCTCCTAACACAAAGATTTTCTGCTTCCTGATCACGTGACGTGTAACGTATACAAATGAAGATCGGCTTCAGAGCTGATATGTTTGTTCTCTCGGCGCGGGGACTCGTTCCGATGCCCAAACAGTAAAAAATGCAAATGACGATTTTAGTCGTCATTGGAAGTGAACGGTTGGATCTAAAATGATTACTTTAGTCATCAATGACAGTGAATGAGGTATGCAACTGTAAATCTGCATGGGGCTTTTATTTTGAAAGTTTCAGATGATTTACAAGGCTTTTGTGTTTGACTTCCTGTCTAGCCCAATCCGAACTGCGAACATTGGCGTGTTCTAGAAGCCTAGCGTGTACAAAATAAACTCATAACATAAGCAACCCATCCTTCTGCTTCTGGGGTCAAGACGTTACACTTCGCAGCTGGTGAAAAGGAACCCCTCCATTATAACAGCGGCTTATCATAACAATTTAATTTTTGCGGCCATTTTGTGAAACTTTAACGTCTGCTGGAAAGGAGGGTGTAGAGTTGCATTGATGTCTTGACTAGTAGAAGCTGAACAATAACATGAGAAACCACCACACAGCAGAACTCCTTTAGTCTTGTCTTATTTCTGGTGATCAAACTTCAACGTTGCCAAGCAAACAGTCATTGGTGGAGTCACATTGCCGTTAACCAATCAGAGGCGAGACGTCCGTACATGAAGAAATCAGACTTCAAGTTCGACCATCTGCCACCACTTTCTCCTCTGGCTGACTTCTACGTCGTCCAACAGGAGCACTCGAGCTTTGTTTATCCGTTAAACAACTTCCAAGGCATTCATTCCTACCAGAGGTCACTGCAAATATAATGAAAATATGAATAAACTAAACGTTTAAAGATTTTTATACAACATTTTTAATATAAAAGATTATTCTCTTTTAAATAATTCAAATGAGTAATACATTTTCATAGTGCACATAACTCTTCATATTTCGTTTCTAAGCGTCCTTATTTTGTGACAGACTTGCACAAATAAAATATTCTATCTATAATTACTGTTTTTACATTGACAGTGTTTACCATTTCCTCTCTGTAATTAATCTTTGTTGAACTTGGCCGGAGTCTAACAGCCACAGGGTTTGGTCAGAGCTGTTAGATGCAGAGCAAATAAAACAAACCACAGTGAATGCAGCACTCTGCCAGCTCGTTGCACAAAGCAACAGTGGGCATTTCAAGAAGTCGGCCGTGATGTCATCATTTCTCCTGAACACTTTTGGAAAATGTTTGCACAATTCTCAGTTTTTATCATTTAAAATGCTGCTTGTCATGACATCCTGTCATGTGATGTGATTTCACATGACAGGAATGAATGCAGAAAGGGAAAGTGTCCTTTTCCCCTAAAAATTATTTGGTAGAGTTTTGGAAATGGTGTTAAGGCTCCGTGTGGCAAAGCAGAATAGTGATAGAAGAGTGGTAGTTTCATCAGAACGTGGCAGTTTGGGCTGGACAATTAAAAAAAATGTATGCAAACTTTGTGAATTGCTTTGTTATCAACTTTATCAAAACTGTCCTCCTCTGTCTTTTGTTGCTTTAAAACTGTTGTAGAGTCAAACCTGCACCAGTCTTCATGTTGCAATTTTATTATTCAGACATCTTCAACTAAATCAGTTTGTGCAACTTAAGGGGGCACTGGGCAGCTTTTGGCTCACTTTAACACCCCCCCCCCCCCCCCCTACTGTCTGTTTTAAATGGTAAAAGGTCAAAGTGTAAATGACCTGTATTTGACATAGCACTTTCTAGAGTCCTGGAACCCCCCAAGGTGCTTTACAACACAATCAGTCATTCACCTATTCAGACACGCATTCACATCCTGGTGGTAATGAGCTACAATGTACCCAGAGCTGCCCTGGGGCGCACTGACAGGTGCCACCGGTCCCTCGATCACCACCAGCAGGCAAGGTGCAAAAATCATTATTGTAATATCAAACCGTTTACCCCTCCCCCCTTTCTGTGCACCTTTTTAAACCAGCTTCCCACATATACAGTGTTTTCCCTACGTAGGATCAGGCCTCACACTGAAAACCCAACCCCCTGCCGCTCTGACAGGAGATGCAGGGAGGCAAAACACTAGTAAACACTAATAAACCGAGGGTTTATTCCCCTTAACATAATATGGGAAAATCCATGAAAATGCTAACAGAATAGAATAAACTGTATTGATGCCACAGTGGGGAAATTCACTTGCTACTTGCTAATATGGTAAAATGGCAGGAAATAGGTATAAAATACAGATGTTTCCAAGACAAAACGAGAGAGCATGATTCTGAGGTGTATAAATGGATTGACGTAAAGCGTTACTGCTTCTCACAAGATGCGATACTCCAGGTCATCGTTATGGAGAAGTTCGAGTTGCAAGCATGAACACAAGAAGCGGAGGGGACTGAGAGTAAACGTAAAGTGTCATTTTAGCACCATTTGGCTCAAGTAAACTATCTAGAGGTCAATTTCACTGAAACAAACCTTTTTTTAATTCTTATTTCTGATTACAATAAGTCACTCTGAACATGAAAATCTCACAGCTATCAGCCTATTACATCTACACCTATTAGCTTCTGATAGAGATTAGATTGTGAAAAGCGAGGATTTGATAATCCTCACAGATCTACGTCACACTGTGATTTCACATAGACTCACCCATCTTGACTCACAGCGTGAAAGGCTGCTTCGGGTAAGAGAATGTGTTGTGTTTTAACATCCAGGAATCAGCAGACAACGTCCCAATTAGCAGAAGCTGGCTAGCATTAACAACTCCTTCAGGTTTGTGTTATTTGAGGAGATAAAACATCAACAGAGTAAGTGGTAAAGTTGCGTTGCTGTTAGCCAATCAGAGGTAAGATGCCCAAATATCAGGAAATAGGACTCAAATCCTGTCTGCTCAACTCTGATCTGGGTCACTTCTAGTTCCTGAAACAGGCACGCTGGCACTTTTTGTCCTCCCAAATACAACTTGCAAGGCCTTCATACCTACTAGAGACCACTGCAGATATATTAAAAATATGACAAAGTGACTTAGTTTGGCTTTAAAGTTGTAGAATATTTTAGATGTCTTACACGTTTCATCCAGGGTGCTTCTGGTTAAACTTGTATTTACATCAGTCTACACTGTGGGGTACTGGGCAGATGCTAGTTTGATTTACTGGTCCAATCCAAACATACATACACACCATAACACACAACTACTCCTTTCTTCTATTACCTCCTCTTTTACAGCATATGTAACGCAGCCAGAAACGCTGTATTTTTATCACCATCTCCAATTGCTTTAGCTTCAGTCTCGACCTTTCTCATTAGCCAAGAACGGTAAAAAAAATAAAAATAAAAATACAGAGCTTCGTTAAACTCTGTAAACTCAGAATTACAAGAGCTCCATAAGGAGTTGGAAAGGGGCCAGGAAACCTATTTAATTCGTCCAGCTGCAGGTGTGAGCCTCTGCAACAAATCACCCGTGTCACCAGACTAATTTGTAAAAGACAACAATATAATGCATATAAAGAGCTTTAAATGTTTAGGGAACAAAGGCAGACGGTCTCTACTGAGATATACGAGAACCAGTAGCAGAAAGGCACAGCAGATTATCAATTCTGATCCCTTTCTTTTCATGAATCTGAGACAAGGAGAACGTAACTTTAGATGACGCTGAGTTTAGTAGTCTGAAGAAACAAATAAAATGGTGATTAAGCGGGAACTTAAGTCTAAAAAATAACAAACAAGCAGAGATCAGTTGAAATACAGTACGGCTGATTGAAGATAAACATTTGGAAAGGGAGTTCGTGTTAGTGCTTTTCAGTCATAAGCTGTGAATTTTAAACAGATCACACACTTACACGTATAAAGAGCTTAAAACATGAATAAAAGAAGAGACTCTCAGCTCGTGATCAGAGGATGTTATGGCTCTTTTCACGTCTTTGCTTCTCCAAAAGTGGAAGTGGGTTTAAACCATTCAAATGTGTGGATGTCACTAAGTGGGAATAGTAACAACGATGTGCACTCAAATCTGATAAATTGACTCTTGAACAATAAAAATTTAAAAATTATCCCAACCGTTGAATCGGGGTTAATGAGCATGTAGAGATTCAGTTTTAGGTAAATATGCTCTTTGTGTACATTCTCAGTACAGACAGGAAACTGGACTGGTGTTTAACTTGGCCGATTAAGGTGCTGCTGGACTACCAGAGCACTCAAAGAACCAGCCAGCCTGTCATAAATCCCCGCTCTCCAACATGCTCTAAAGCCTTGTTGGGTTTTAGTGTAGAAAACTGTTGCTTAACTCTGAAGCTGTTAAAGTGTGAAGGCAAAGTCCACCATAAGACGCTGGATCACAGGAGAGAGGACAGAAAGGAGGCCTGTGGACAGCCGTCTCCTCAGGGCCGTTATGACAAAGCCTGCCCCCGAGAGCACACGCTCAGGTCTGCCATTTGTCTATTTCACGTTATTTTTATTTTCCTTTTAGAGGGGCGCAGTAAAAGCTGAGTCGCCTCTTACCCTTCAGAACTCTTTATTTCAAGCATATTGCCTAAATCACAGGAGGTATGTTAGAAAAACAGGACACGCCATAAAACCCTGAAAACGGTCTCCTGGTTTGACGTACTCAAGAGGAACTGAATCAGACGCTTTGTGAAAGCAGCGCCGGATTTGGACCGACGGGTGATGGAATGGGACAAGCACAATTTTGGTTTAATTTACGCGGATCACTTTGACTCATGGGTTGGATGTGGAGAGACCTCAGTTTAAAGGCCAAGGGTCCAGAGGCATGAATACTTTTACCTAAAGTATTTATTTTGTTGATTGACAGGATGGCCAGACGCTGGCCTCTTAATCTTGTTATTAGAGTGATTAAAGGACAAAGGAAGGAGGGAGTAAGGAAGACAAGAGGACAAAGAAAAGTAAAAGTACAGTCAACATGACATCATGAAGGCTTAAGGGCATGTCATTGTAATGTAATCTTCTCAAGTGCTTTGCAGGTTTTCCCGACTACTACATGACTGCATAATTTCCCTTGATTCTAATTACAAAGTTTTTATGTAAATATAAAGCAGAAAATTTGAAGTTTGGCCGCGATAACAAGGGACATCATCCTTACTGTCCTTTGTTTGGTGAACCAAAGCAGTTTTAAAACAAAATAGACTCAAATCTGGTACACACCCCACGTTTACTTGGTGCTCGTTAGAAACTAATTTTGGTTTCCACAAAAAAAAAGATGAAAGAACATACAAGTAAGCAGATAAATGAAGTGGTAAATGTAAACAACATTGTTGTCTTCATAAAAACGTGTTGGGATTAATTAGTCCTAATTTCTAAATCTTAAACTGTTTTCTGTTTTTTGCTAAAGAAAGTACTGTTTTACTTGCATATAATTTGTAATCTTACATGTAAGCTGGTTTTGTTTGTTGAAATAAATCCAGCTTGGTTTGTCGTATTAATATGACTCATCTGAGCGTGAGTGTGCCCTCTACACAAACACGATAGAGGGCACACTCACACACTTTCAGTTGCAATATTTTGTCGTTTTTTAAACCTACAGTGTCAACAGGTAAAATAAATTGTAAAAGCTACTTGAAACTGGAGGGTCACACATAAAACTATTTTCTAAATGATGCAACCTTTTTGTCATTTTATACTTTATTACAAATACATCTTGTAAATGTAAATATCCATGAAACAGTTTTAATTTTTGCCATGCGATGGACTAAACTTTGTTGGTCTCATGCAGACAGACAATCTTCCATATGCATTTGTTTTCATAGCAACATCCCTAACCGTTCCATTCCTCTGGTCGTGCCAGGCCTTTGTTCAGCAGCAGTACACAGTTTCAGATCCACCCGCTAAGTCCCAGCGCATCAGGCGAGTCGGGTGTCTCTTGTTTCATGCGGTAACTATAAAACGCTCTGAGAGCTTGCAACCGTTCTGCTCCAACCCGCAGCCACAGTGTTCCCCTAACAAGGGACAATTACAAACTTGTTGTAAATTATGGTCATGTACATTTGGGAGTCGTCAGAAAACTCAAGTCATTGAAGCATTTGAAAGCTGAAGAAGTTCTGAGCTACAGCAGCAATAACGACGAGTGCATAAAGAGCACTCTATGATCTAACAATAGCGTCACCTCCTGCCGTGAGCATATTGATCAGCAAATTATCTGGGCTGTCTGGGATCTTCTTGCTTTTGAGTTGACTTCTGATGCACAAAGTCACAGGGTCTGATCAAATAATACCACCTTACACTCACTTGTCGGATTCTCTGCCAGCAGTTCATGCACAGATAATGGATTCAGCTGTGAAAAGCTCCTGATCAATACTTTTATTACCTGTAGAGACTTTTCTAACCATATTAAAGGAGCCCTTCGGCATCGCATTTTAACCCCTCGCAGAGATGATGTGATTTGTCCTTCTGGTGTGCAGTCAATCTGGCGTTTGTCACATGATTTGTTCATGTTTAGTGCGAGCCGGGTGAAGAATATATTACTGATTATTATTAAAAGGAAGAGGAATTCCTTTTCTGCCTGCCTTAAAAAATCCAAAACAAATACATTATGATTTTATTTTGCTTATCTGACATATTCACACACCTCTATGACACAAAGTCACAAATGCACACGTGCTAGTCAAGACATGCAAGAGCTGCCCAGTCTTTGGGAGTGCAGAACTATTTAAGAAAGGAAATCAAATGGATTTTTTTCTAACTTTCCTGTCTTTTTCTCCACCAGCTTTGGTCAGTGCAGTTGTGGCCCGTGATGCAGGGTCCCATGGGCCTGGCGGTGAAATCGTAATATGGACCATCTGACACCTGTCAAAACAGCCCTGTTAGCTGAGCGTCAAGCCTTGTCAGCTAGCAGAGGAAAGTGCTATGCAGGTTCTCAATTTCTCTCCCCTTTCCTTTAAATCTCTCCACTCTCCCTCTGTGTCTCCCAGACTTTCACTCCTGAGACCTCCCCTAATTCATCCCTCTCAAAAGATGATTTAAAAGGATTTGTGATTTTAAACTACACTTCTTCTCACACTTTTGTTTTTATTTTCATGTATTTTCTGTTGGTCTTTACATCTGTTTCTTTTCATATCTTCTCCATCGTTGCAAATCTAATCAGCCACCTAAAACCAGGTAAGAATGTGAACCAATGAGAAGAAAGTGATTTCATTTGAGTTATTTTTCCCCACATACCTTGATACTCGTGGTGTTGCACCAAACCGTGCAAACACCAGATCTGTTCTGCTTTCCAATGCACAAAAACAATCTGCCAATACTGTCTCTAGAATGCTGCAACAAAATCAGACTGGATTCAGTTCTGAGTAACGGCATTAGCTTTCATACGTGAGGAAATAAATTAATCTAAGTTTGACTCTAAATCGAACCTTGCCTTAGCGTGTCTCTTATTTCTTCTCTGTTCTGAGTACAAAAGGTTTGCTGCACTGCCAATCCGCCTGCTTCCTTCATCTCCCAGCCCACATGCTTGTTTCCTCTGCAGCTCCTTTGCTGATGGGCCAACAGATCCGGAGATGTAAAAGTGGAGGAGGAGATGGAAGAGAATGCTTTGCACAAGAACCGGGAAACATGTCCTGTCACGGTTTGTGTCAATGCAGCTCAATTGAATTACTTTCAAGCCAATCTGTCACACAGGATTGCAACTGCCTTCCAAGTGTAGAGCATGTTCTGTAAGCCAGAGGATCTATTTTGTGAGGTCTGCTCTTCTCATGCAATCACTTTTGGGTGAAGAAAATGAAAATGTTTTGAAACCATTACCAATGGTTTGTGGTGTTTTTTATGTGGAAATCCAAATGACACATTTTAAGAATATAGAAGTAATCAAACTTGTGTTTTCAATTAGCAAAAACCGATAAGCCATTTTTAAAGTAAACCCACCAAATTTTATTTAGACTGGTATCAGTTCAAGGAAATAATGAAGAAATTAACTTTATTTAAAAAAAATCTGATTTAGCAAATTAACTATTCAGTTGTGAAATTTGGACATTCCAGCCGTTGGAATTTTCTTTTTAACCCTTTAACGTCCTCACCAAGAAAAAAGCAATTAAAGATTCCACTTTTTGCATTTTTGATTTGGCACAATAAGGGGTTTAGTTTGTGTATTCTTACAGGTAAAATAATGATTTTCATTGCAAGGAAAGAAGTGAGGAAATAAAAAGGGAGATAATCCCATACCAGTAGATTCCATTTGATCAGAGGAAATGATCTCGGAAAACAAAAAGTAAATGAAAGAGAAGGTCTCCCTTTCATTTTCCATGTCTTATGAAATAACACACCCCTAGATAATCACCTGTATCCTGCCTAAAGCAAGAATTCGGTCTAGTTCACTAGGCTAGGTGACCCGCACACACATTCAGAGTTGAAACTTAGTTGTGTTCCCAGACAAAAACTCAGCCACCTCAAATTTTCCCAACAAGAACAGAAGCAGACTCTAAATTGAATGAGTAAAACAACCCCTTAAATGAGATTTGTAGATAGAACGAGACATTCCGTTCATGACACTACGTAGCTAGGTTTTCTTCCTGAGAGACACATTTATGCAGAGGGTGTTACACACAATGGGGTGAGAGGGATTCAGAGGAGTAGTTTGATAGATGAGTTATGATTTAATCCTTTAAAAGGGCGGCCAGAATTTGACTGGTTGAGGATTTTCCAGGTTTGTACATTTCAGATGTGATTAAAACTTTTAATAAAAAAAAAAACATTTCATTTATTAGTTGCCATCAGTATATGAAGAGCATTTCAAGCATTCTGAAAAAAAACAAACTCAGATGGTACCTTTAAAACTGCACTCATGGAGGCGTAGAAAAAATAATAATAGTAAAACACAAGCACACAGACACCCCACCCCCCACGTAGCATCCAGCAACGAGAGTTAATCTAAACCATATTATTCTGGACATGTGAAAATAATATTGACAAGATCTCCTTTGACCCAGCTGACTTTGAGCAAAAATCTGCACCTTATTGGATTTCTCTGAGGCATTGATTATGACCCGCGAAGCATGTGGTGGAGGTTTTCTGTTTATGATTCAAGCACTGCCCAAAGCAAAAGCTGGTAATGCTGATGGGTTTACGTAGCCGTGCCTTTTCTGTTTTCGTTGGCTCTGTAATCAGTCATTGCAACACTGCTGCGCTTTTGAGCGAGGGATGGTTTGTGCGCCTGACATGTGCAGTCAATTATTTGATAAAAAGATCTAGTAATGTGTTTGTTACAGGAAGAACACTTGTGCTCAGTGTGGGAGATTTTGCAACAACTCTGCAGTGCATTGCTCCATTCTTCCATGTTTTCTTTCTGATAAAAAAAAAGTCATCCAAGGGTAGCAAATTCCCCTCATTAAATGAATCAGAATGAGTTTAGCCTGTTTACAAGTACAAAGGGAAAGTGGGAAACACTTTGAATTGAATTAATTGTCTGCACCACCCTCATGAACTGGCAGGACTTTGGATGGAAGTGGGATGAGAGTTCTGGCAACTGCTGCTGACAAAATTTATAGAGGAGATAAACATAAATGACTTCCTGCTCAAGTGTGAGGGAATTATAAGAATGAGCCCCAATCAAAGTTAATGATGTTGTATTAGAGGGCTTTTATTGAGAGAGAGGGAGACAACAGCGATGACTTCTTGCATCCAGAGAAGAGATGGTAAACAAGTGCTGGTAGTTGGTAAAATTTATTGGCTTGCAGGAAAATGATGATCAGCGTGGGCGTGACTTTGGCGTTGTTCTTCATGCACCACGAAGGGGACAAACGTTATTTTTCACCGGGCTGCAACAAAGGTAATTATCTTGAGAGCCTCATTCATATTCAGCCTAAACCATTGCATCTCATAATAAAATGAAGGGACCATCTCAGAAGATTGATCTACATTTTAAATGTACTATGCAGATGTAGAAGGGTTGATAAAAGTGTTTTATTTTTTGCAATTTTACTATTTGACCACAAATGACATTGGTTTAGAATATTTTTTTGCTTGTTCTTGTAAGTTATGCAACCGCAAGTGTTCCCTATGTGGAAATATAATGTGTGTGGATATAAAAACTAACTAAAGGTTAATTGTGACATCCGTTTTGGTAATTATGGTGAAGAAAATTGGTGGAGCGAGTTATGTGGAAACAGTTTGGACTGAAATATTGTGCTTAATGTTTGGTATGGCTGGGAAGACAAGCAGTTCCATTTTAGAGAGACTAAGTTAGAAGCGGGGTGCTTTCATCCATCTCTATTTGTCCCTGAGTCTTATTTAAAGTCCCCAAACATGCTCTGTTCCTGTTCTTTAACCCTCCCACTGCCTTTATGGGTGACCCTGCGAGGAAAGTTGACCATTGAACAGTATTGATGGTTTATCCCTTGAGGTCCACGTGGCAGGGGTGAGGTGGTGCTCACTCCTCACCCCTGCCACATGGACCCAAGGGATAAACCATCAAACCTGCTCAATGGTCAACTTTCCTCGCGGGGTCCTATCCATTAGGACAGTGGGTGGGTTAAAGACCAGGTTTACTGAGAAACATTTTTTTTACTTAACATTTTTGAAAATGATCAGTCACTCTGAGTTTAACATGCAGGCTGAACGTGAAAATAGATCTCCTACCCCTTTTTTCTGCATTATCTTTAATAGAAAATTAATGGAAAAGCGCTCAGTTCAGAAAAGCCTGACAGATCTAGGTCACACCAATCTGGACTCACGATGGAGAAGGATGTTGTTGGTTTAGCATCCAGAAAACAACAGAGAATGTCTTGACTAGTAAAGCTAACCATTAGCATTATCAACTCCACCACACAGACCTCCTTCAGGTTTGTGTCATTTGTGGCAACCAAACATCAACATTGCAAAGCCACCGGAATCAGTGGATAACATGTTGCTGTTATCCAATTAGAGGCAAGATGTCCTACTTAAGATATTAGTTATTAGGAAAAAAAACCTAATCCTGCCACCTGAAGTTGCTTTCTCCTTCAGCTGACTGCATCCTCAAACAGGTGCACCAGAGCTTTTCCCCAGACAGTTACAAGGCACTCATTCCCACTAGAAACCACTGCAAATGTATTACAAATACGAATAAAACTGAATTTTAAAACAAGTTCCCCAAAGATGATTCTACAATTCTCTGCAATAGGCAGATAATAGAACAGATTAAAATCCTTAACAATTTAATATCATAGTAATGTCCACCCCTACTCACATGTACTCGCATATATGTGACTAATTATATGGATAATATGTAGGAAATTTATGCATTTTTATTTAGAGAGTTTGATTGCAAATCTGACTTTTTCAGATGAACTATGATGAAATGGTCAAACTGTGCTGTTATGCTTTGAAAGCTAACCAGCTGAGTGTGTTGATTTCACTTTCTTTTGTTTGCACATCTCTGGAGCAACTGGGGTGGCCCAGTGGATTGGTTACCCTCTTCTGTGCTAATCAGGGGCCTGATGGGGGCAAGCAGGAGGTCTGAGGATGGGGAAGAGTCGTACAGTTGATTTTGGATGGAGCTGTACATTTCTGAGGTGAAATAGATCTATTTGAATCCTTGATTCTCTTGGTAAAAACTGAGTAGTTTGACTGACTCTTGCTATTGGTAGAAGAAAGTATTTGTCAAGATGACTTAATCAATCATACTCAGCTACTAGTAGGGGGATTTCCTCTTACACAAATTTGGCTCTGAGCTTAGCAAACATCTTATCCAGTCTTCACGACTGTGCCTTGAGGACTCGTACATGGATGGCCACAAAAATGCCCATCTAGGGAACAATCTAACAACGTAATGCCAGCAGTTCACCTATTTTCCTCTCAGCCTTCAGCCTAAGAGTAATAGACAATAGTTAACATTTTGCAACATCTGCAGCCTTGGGTTCTTGTCCAACATCAGGACAAAATTGTTTCCAATCCAGAAATACTGTAGCAGTCTACAGTTTCCCATTACCTGTCAGTGTCTGTTTTGATTTTTGGATGAGAAGACATATTATTTTCCACTTTAATGACATGATCTCTCAACATTGACTGTCAGCAGTCTGGCAGAGTGATTTCACGTCAACAGAACAGTACTTTCCTTAGTGGAGGGATAAGTAACAGACTCCTCTGAAACAGCAGCAAAATACTTTTGAAAATGTTTATTACTGAATTTTTATTCAGTGTTAAAACTCACAAAAATTAGAAGTTATATTTATTTTCATGCAGATTTGTCATTTTAAACTGTTGACACCAGTTTGTAACCAGTGACTGGTATTTTTTGTTGTTTTTTGGATGTGTGACCATGAACAGAGACAATGGAGTTTACTCATTGGATTGTGCATGGGACTGCATCATCGGAGAGGGGAGAGCGGGCAGCAGAGGGCGACAACGTCCTCTGCTGCCCGCGGATAAACAGTCGGAGTAGGAAGTGACGCCACCATCAGTGTCAGCTCTGAAGATGTTTGCAGCCGCAAACGAAACCGTCAGCAAGGTAGGGAGAAACCTTATCTGTGTTTTAAAAAGAACCAAAAATGGAATTTGAAGTCAAACACAGCAAGAACGTACAAAAGATGATTAAAGAAAAATACAGACAACAAGGAACAAAGGACTTCCGCCATTTGGAATGTTTACATCAACAACGCGCCTTCGTTTCAATTTAAGATGCCAGGTCGAAAACATCACACCAACAAGCCTACAGCTGAAAACACCGATCCGAACCAAGACAGCACAGAGCATAATGGAAAGAACACAGAAAGCACTACTCAAAGAAAGGATAAGAAACGGCGCAACCAAACAGAAGCAAGTGGAGAACGGACTGGAAAGAAGATACTTGGACTTAAAAAGGAATTACAAACTTGATGAAAAAGCGGAGGAACAAATTAAAGGGCTCATGTTGGAACAACAGGAAAAAGAGTTCACAAAAGTAAAAGAAAGACACATAAAGAAGTTAAACACACTCATCCACAAGAAAAAGAGATAAGAAATACACGATAACACCACACAAAGCTCATGGGTATGTAACCTCTCACAATACAAACTAACAGAAGCAGAAGAAAGCATATTTAAAAAAGATTTAAACTTTTCAGTAACACCAAAGTAAATACCATATGAAGAATTTATTGTAGCAACAGAAATAGCATGTCAACAGATCACAGATGAGGGAAAGAAAGCAGAACTCAGAAATAATGTAGTTGGGATTTTAAAGAACAGCACAATTCAACAAAGAAATTTTACAAAAGAAGAAAAATCGGCCATGACAGCATTATCCAAAAATGAACAGATTATTATCCTACCGGCAGACAAAGGAAGAACCACGGTGGTAATGGACAAAGAAAAATATAAGCAACAGATGAAACAGATGTTAGAGGACAAAAATACATACAAAATGCTTCCAAAAGACCCAACAGAAACCATTAAGAAAAACTTGAAAAATTACTGAAGCCACTACAAGAAAAAGGCAAAATAACAGAAAAAATGTACAAACACTGGATCCCTATAGCAAACATAGTACCAAGAATATACGGAACTCCAAAAATACACAAACAAAACACCCCACTTAGACCAGTATTAGACAGCATAGGTACACCAACATACAACATGGCAAAAGAAGTCAGCTAAATCATCAGTCCGTTATTAGGTAACACAGATCAACACTGCAAAAATAGCATTGAACTGGAAAAAGAACTAAAAAAGATTACAATAGAAGATAACGACATATTCATCTCACAAGACGTCACAATCCCTGTTCACAAAAACACCAACCCAAAAAACATAGACATAGTAGTTAACAGAAAAAAAAAGTCAGACAGGAAAAAACTTTACACAAAAGAACAAACCTCACAGCAGATGACATATGACAACTGATAGGACAGGTAGCTAACTCCACTTACTTCACATACGATGACACAATATACAGACAATTGGAAGGCTTTGCCATGGGTAACCAGTTATCAGCCACCCTGTGCGAGTTTTTCGTGGAAGACCTGGAACATAAAGCCATAGCCACTGCCCCCCCCCCCCCCCCCCAAACTGCAAAATAAAACTATGGAAACGCTACGTAGACGACATACCTGCTCACATGTATTTTAGACTCAATTTTTATGGTTATATGTTACAAAGCTGCCAATATTTTTGACAGCTGGACATCATTTAATTCATTTTAAACAACATTTAGACAGATATGTCCATAGATTAATGGTACAACTAAGACCAAAAGCGAAACATGACAAGACTGAAAGAATAAAAAAATAAAACACATACTTTATCAGAACTGCACAAATGACAAATAGCTAGACGAGAAAGCCAGCATAAAATCCTGTTTTGTAAAAATCCTGTCGGAAGATGTAGGTTTTGAGTTTGCTTTTGAGAAGGAATGAATCTGGAGTTAGACGCAGGTCAGTGGGGAGTTTGGTCCAGAGCTTAGGAGCTGCCACTGAAAAAGAATGATCACTCCAATGCTTGTCCCTGGACCAAGGAGGTTCCAGGAAAAGCTTGTCTGATGACCTTGTTGTGCATGTCTGCTGACGTAGGCATAAGGTACACCAAATTAACTGATTGCAAACTTTCAATTATCCTATTTGGGGATATTGTGTGTATACAACACATTCTCACACCCAAGCCATCAAAGTATGGCGCGTGTGACCAAACCTTAATGTATGTCGAATCGGGATGCCCCAGCGCGTCAGGAGACGACGATCTGGGACACGTTGGGTCAAGTGTCTCCGCTGGTGTCACTGTTTGACGCGCACGTCACACTGACATTGTTCGACTATTCAACCTTCCCCTCACCCTAATCCTAGCCTTAAGGTCCATAAACTGTGACCTTATGGTTAGGATTGGGGTGACGGGAAGGTTAAGTAGTTCACAAGTAGATCTAATGTCCGTCTCACCACCGGCGTTGGATACCGACGCTCTGGGACGCTGCGTCAGCTGTTTGTCCCTGATCATCATCTCCTGACACGCTGGGGCATCCCGAATCGCCATATATTGAGGCTTGGTCACACCCGTCATATTTTTATGCGTTGGGCGTGAGAATGTGTTGGTGTATAACCTGTAACCGGAGGGTGGCAGGTTTGAGCCCAATTGTCATAATCGTTGGGAAAGACACTTGTCCTGAAATCCAGCCTTGCCTGCTGGTGGTGATCAGAGGGATCGTGTAAAGCTGACATAGTGTTGTAGATGGTTTTTCAGCTTTCTATTCAAGAGAATATGGGCACTAGTCTTAGTGCCGAAAAGCTGGAGGCATGCAGAGTAGACAGATAAAACTCCATCTGATTTGCCACTGCTGGGTTTCAAGCTACTCAGAGCAGATGACTCCAACGAGAAGTCAGAAATGAGAACTGAATGGAGTAACTGGGGAGTTTTTAGAATATTAGACTCAATTCAGACTCATTATCTTATGTCAAATCATTACATCATCATTGGTGTCGTTGAGTAACAAATTACCCATCAGTGGATTCAACAAGAGGGTTTGGCAACGGAATAACACCAAAAATTCCTGCAATATAGAGAACAAGGTGTTGGAACTGACTGCAGTTGTTGCGTAGTTTAACTATTTTTGCATGTGGAGTCATTGGAATACCTGGAATCACAATGAACATAAAGGTTTGACACTAAAAAGAAAAGCTAAAATTAAAATTTGTATACAGCAGTGTTGGGACAATAGTCAAGCTGGAGAAAGTAATTTATCAAGTTCTCCGAGTACAGTCCTGAGTCTTTGACTTCTTCCATCAGTCTTCCAACAATCCTGGAATGATTCTCCAGTATTTAATTTTATTTCTAATGAAAACTTTTAATAAAAGGGCTGTTATGAAAAATTAAATTACAGTTTTACAAGCCAAAAATCACAAGGAAAGATCAAATCAAATCAATTTTATTTATATGGCACATTTAAAAACCACCCAAATTGACCAAAGTGCTGAAAGATGCAAATATTCTTAAAATTTGCATTAACTTCTGAACACATTTTCAATTCTAGTTTTTCATTAGGTGCCAGATAGCAACATTTCTTCCAAAGCATTGAGTCTTTTCTATATAAATGTCTTGAATGTGTTGAATTTAATCTTGACTAAAGCTGATTTAGTAGATTTTATAAGCCGATTATTACAGATCGCACAGCATTTTTTACGTCAGTGTGGCTTCCTGTCCTGCGCATCAATGGGACAATATCAAAAAGCCACAACTTCCTTTTAACAGGAAGAAAAATCGGGCTCAGGGTGGGAGGCTTCTGCCTCTGCAGACTGGGGTTGGAAAAGACAGGAAGGAGACAGACAGACGACCACGGGAGGACTAGGTCGGGCGTTATTTATATGGGAAGGAAAAAAGATAAAACATTGGGAACGGCATCAATAATTGCCAATATTCATATGTGGAGAGTAAAGAGAGACAGCAGAGTAAGGAAACATATGATTAAAAAAATGTGTTGTGCCACTAAATTCACTGTATGGAAACAGAAATGTCTCAGTTATACCTGGATTTTACGCCGTTGGTAAAGGCATCATTATTTTATTTTCTTGCGGCTTTTGAAAGCGTCTCCTGTTATGGCAGACTCACTGTATAGGTGTACATTTCAGTGCTACACACAGCGTGAGGAACTGTGTTGGTTTGCTGACTCCTAACAGAATGCTCCTTCATTAAAAGTGCTTCAAGTAGAACTCACCAGAGACAGACTGTTTCTGTTCTGGAGTCTTGGTCCAACATCACTAATTAGGTGCCAGGAATCTTTGGTACCAGCTCTACCGCTGGTGCTCCTTCACTCGTCCACAAAGCCGTAAGGCTCAGCGGGCATCACAGGGGACTGAAGATCTGTGTGAGGCAACGGAGCACAGTGACCATGTTGCCATAGTGGGTGACTGTTTTACTCAGCTGAGCTTTGCATCATTATTGGCCCCAAACATCAGGGTCTGATGGTCTCACAAATTAAGGGGCAATTAAGGCATTGGAACATCTTAGGGATCAAAGCAGGCTACAGGAGCAAAAGCCACTCCGGATGTTTAGAAAGGAGCAATAAAAAAGAGCCGGACCAATGAAAATATGTTGTTTCTTATTATTTCAAAGTGAAACAAAGAAAGGGTTGTCCTTAAAAGGGTTGGGAACTGTTTAAACAATTGAATAAGAAGAAACAATATAGTTGTTATTCCACCACAAACAGTTTTTTTGGGGGGTTTTGCACAGTATGGCACGGTTTGGGGTGGGAGTCTCATTTTTCTAGCTTGTCAAAGATGAGAGATTGAAAAGAGAAAAGGATTAGATGGGATCCAGTCTGCGGAGAGCTTCGCTGCTCCGAGCCACCTCTGAGATTCTTGCATCTCGCTAATTTCCATCAACACAACCGAGAATAAACAACAGCTTTCATCATCTCTCAATTTAGTCTCCCTGCCTTGTGCTTGGCGGTAACTCATGCCAATCTGAAAGCAGTCAAACAGTTTCTACAGTGAAATGGGCTCCTTGGATTAAAATGTAATTTGCTACAGTTAATGAAAATGCATTTTG